TCGATAAGAGTATTCGCGAAAAATCGATAATATATGAGTGGAAACGTGGATGGGCGGAGTTCACTTGACACTGCAAATGCTATAAAGTGTTAAATAAATCGATATCATTGATCTATTCGTCGCTTTGAAATTGATTTGTAGCGTTAAATGGACCTTAACCGGCATCACGTAAGGATTAAAACCGGTTCCAGGCGACCCCCGCGTCCTTTCATCAAATATTTAAACAAGATCATAGCGCATTGTTAACACGACGTGTCACTCAATGTGTGACGATGTAAAATGCATTCACAAGTTAGCGACAGGTCCTAAAAATAATGTTGTTTCTGTATATTTCCATGTTTATTATTTATTTTAACATAACATCTATTTGTAATTTCAATTCAAAATAAATGAGACCAATCAATATATTGTTAAATACAATACCAGATGTACTCTCCACTATAATAGCCTTAACATTTACTAGATCTAGTTATACAAGAATTTCTCGATCACGCACAATATTTCTTCATATCCGTGTATCATGATTTTTCAATATTCTGAGGAAACAATAACAACATTAGAATATTCAACGGTCAAGTCTAAGTAAATGTTAAAGCTATTATGTAAGATACATTTCATGTTTGTATTTCTATTCTTACAATTATTACTGACATCAAATCAGTGTCTTACAACTTTTATTTTGCCACTTTTTAAATATCTGACGACTTTTAAAATAAGAAACGACCACCTATTGTGATCTTTACGAATTTCATCTCACTAATATTGTTGCAAATTGTTTTTAAGTTATTTTATACTCAAATCTCTCCTTTTTACTCAAAATTTATTCTCATGATGATTACTCATTCTAGGTATAGTTTATATGTGGTTCAAACGTTCATGCCAAGGAAAGGAGAGAGAAGAATGCGAAGACTATCGCATGTTTCGCGACTTATCATAGTGAACAAAATTTGAGAGAGAGAGAGAGAGAATGATGAGGAAAGGAGAGAGGGGAAGGGAGGAGCGAGAGAGATATAGGCGTGTAAGGCATATTTGCGCTTCAGTTAATGCAACTTCTGTCATTATCGAGTGCCAACTGCTCGTTATATCGTAATAAGCGCCCGCGTTTGTCTCTTGCTCGCTCGCGTGCGCGCATGTATGCGTGTGTGTGTGTGTGTGTGTGTGTGTGTGTGTGTGTGTGTTCACGCGCGGAAACGGGCCGCGAACTAATGCCATTCAAGGTAATTACGCTACCTGTTACATGTCACTCGTCGCGGCATCGAGAATCACGCCGTGCAACGAACCTCTCGCCACGGCTAATATTAGAAGATGGAATCTGAAGACGCGCGCGTTATCGGCCACGCCGCGTCGATAATATCGCCGAGAAGATGTTCAGGAGCAACTTTCACCCTACGTGCGTCACGAATCTAAGAAAGTTTGCGACACCAAGCTCATCCCTGATAACTTAAAGCCGCGTCACCAGATAACTCGCTTGTTCATTAAGTATTCTATGAATACTGATACACTGTCGCGCTACAGCTCAATGCATTTTACATTGTCGAGTGTGACGCGTCGCGTTAACAATGCGCTATTGATCTCGGTTTAAATATTTGGTCGCCTGCAGCCGGTTTCAATCCTTGGGATTACACACGCGCGCAGGCCGACCAGCATTATTTCACGCAGCTGTGTCTTGTCAAAAGTTAAAGATCTTCTTTTTTATAAGACTTATAGAAAAGAACATTCTCTCTATTATGTGTCAAATCACAACGGCGACGCGTGCTTGCGTACAATCTCTCATGGAGAAACTCAAATATATCGTGTTCGAAAAAAAGAATGGATTTATTTGTATTCTTAACCACAGGTTAGAGAGCGCTCCTCCCTCTCTCTCTCTCTCTCTCTCTCTCTCTTGGGACTTCAAATAATGAAAATTCTTTTACACACGTTTGAAGTTCACGTCGAACAAAATATATAACTCTCTAATCCGAGCCTCTTAGTGTTCTCGAGAAAAATAACCCAAAAAAGAAACTTAGTGTCAACAGATGGAGCTATATAAACAAAGACAAGTATCAGCTAGCAGCTAATTCAATTGCGCATGACATGTGCCGCATCATTTGCTGCCAAATAACATTGATGCAGAGCTTATCAATGAAATCTTAACACTGATCAGTAATTAGCGATAATTGATTGTGAAACGATATATAGATCGGAATCGCGGAAACCCCTAATACAGAACAATAAGAGGCTCAGATTAGAGAGTTACACATTTGGAATCGATTCTACATGAGTTTTAGGGAAGACCAGGGCTAGATGTCATATATTTTAGAATTTCGAAGTTGCAACTTTTTAGGCAACTAATTGTTGTGACTGACTGATAGAATTACGAAACGTGATAGAGACAACTTTCTTCTGTGTATTGATGCCTATCACGACCCTGTTAACCGCTTATTTTGCTTGGTAATAACCAAAATACGAACATGCAACAACGTAGCCATCTTGGCTTAGTACCGGGGTGAATTGGCCAGTAATACAGAGTAAGAAGGCCACGTATAAAATATGTATCCTGATCAGTAGTTCCAGAGTCTCCGCGAAAAGTCTCTACAGCCTTTCTGCTGACTTTTAATTATGGGCCAACTTTACCTCGTCCATCCATATACTCTATTTCAATCATTTTATGAATGTAAATTGCATTCATTACAGGAATAGTATATCATACACTTGCAAGAAATTTTTTTCATCAACAAATTAATTTTCTTCCGTTATGATGAAATATTAATACAAAATTTCGAGAGGCTCCAAAATTTACTTTGCTATTATTAAGTCAGTTTTGATATTTCGCTGTAATATTATTCCGATTTTAGTGAAATTCACGAAGAAGTATTTATGTTCTAAAAGAATCATTTCGCGATTTTGTGGTCACACATACATACACACACATTATTCCTCTCAAGATAAATTACTAAAAAAAGCATATAAACAATATGCTCCTAGAGCCATATAGTCTTCTTTAATCATATGCAGAAAACATTGTCATTATCGGGAATCCCAAAATGAGGCGAAACGTCTGTAGGTGCTTGGCCGCATTCTTTCTGCACGGGTTAATCCTTCTCTGGCTCCCACGTGGGAAAAGAGCGCGTCCACCGCGACGCGACGCCGGGGTGTTTGCGTTACGCGCGAAATGACGATTCCTCTCCCCCGTCGCGATTCCGTTCCATTCATATTCATGAAAGTCATTAAATACGATTCCCGAAGGCGGCGGCGCAGGACGGGCCGGATCGGCGAACTTTTCTCGCCGAGATTAGATCAACCGAGCAAATATTTGAAGGCTCTCCTCGCGAGGGCGAGGGGCGCGCGGGGCGTCTGTGTCTTTGCGCACTTCGATATCCACTTCACTTACCGAAAACTCGAGTCTCCCGCTAGCGTGAGCGAAACTTCGCCGTCTAAGTTTCCAGCCTTTACATCGATTCGAGGGCGAGAGAGGTGGAATGGGGCTCCCGGACTTCGCGGGCCGAGAATAAATCCGCGGCGTGTTTGTGAATGCTTCATGACACGGGGAGCGAGAGACTCCGTCTGTACTCTCGTCTTCGCGCGCGGCTGTCTTTCTCCCTCTCTCTCTTTCTCTCGAATAAATAATCATCCCGCGGATGGTGGCCGAGGCGACGTTGCGTGTATATGCAGGCGAGTGCATATAACAGCCCTTTACCCGCCCGATTTCGTTGTATCGTGTTACCGTGGCGCTTTTCTCGTCCTTCCCACAATCTCGCAGATCGCGATCGAATTTATCGGGACGGGGCTGGCGAGTGAGTTTTATGTATTCGCCCTCGCTCGCCTCTCTGGCCTTTCCCCCTCCGCTTCATCCTGCATATTTGATAGATCCGAGACAGTCCATGCGCGCATGTCAAGGACGATTAGTGCCCGACAACATCTTGAATATCGGATTCCAAGACTTAACGCGGCTTAAGGCGGCTGCAGCGGCAGCCAATAGACATTTAGAAATCCGCGGTGAGCTCATCGTCGTCAGGCCCGCTAGCCTAATTAATGCAATCCGCAGACGATCCCGCTTAACATGCGCTACTCACTTGGCGCTGTCGTAATGCACGAACTCACATCGGAGTTATCGCCCCCGAGACTTTACCGCGTTCGATGCGCGTGTTGACGGCGCTGTCCGATCGCAGTGTCGACCCGCGCACGTCAATCTCACGTCCGGGAGCTTTGACATGTAATCCCAGAGCGCGCGGGCTCGCTTTGGCTCGCTTAGACTTGTGACAAGTTCAGCTCGTAAATTGGTAAGAGAGAAAGTGACGCGAGCCACAGTGAGCCGCCTGAGGCTTGATTGTGTATCTCAGAACATAGTAAGAATTGCAAAAGTGAGTTCTAAAGATGAGCTTAAGTGAAAAGTGTGCAACTGAAGATGAGCTTGAGACAACCTTAAATATAAGATCCGACTATAAACCACCCTCAGAGCTTACTTTCGTCATTCTTGTTATATTCTGAGGTACACACAATCGACTCTCTGGTTCCACGGCGTTGAAGTTCGCCGAGCCATCGCAAAGCGAGCCCAGAGTCCTTCCTCAAGTAATATTGTAGTTAGGTTCGCTATTTATAGAGCAGAAGTGAGTGAGTGAGAAAGAGAGAGAAGCTGCAGCGTGTTTTTTATTCGCTTCTTCCCTATTAATGGTGGATAAAGTCCGATCAGGAATCATCACGCAGTGTCCTGTCTGTAATTTGAGGAACTCTGAGCGAGTCATGGCGAGCCACGCGCTATGAGAGATTAATGCGCGCAGATTAATGCTGGTCACAAACAAGCACACGTGTAACACAACTGCAGCTGGCTGCACCTGCGAGCGGAGCAGAGTGTAAAGCGTAGTATAATTGACTGCATTGTAAATTCGCTGCTGCAACAATGGGCGGGATAATTATGCTCAGAGGTGTATGTGTGTGTGTGTGTGTGCGTGTATGCGTATATATATGCATGCGCTCGGTTAATTCCTTAAGCTAATCCGATCGATGTTAACTTGCTGTTGCAGCTGGACAGGTTCAAAGAGCCACCGGCGTTCGGGCCAATGTGCGATCTTCTCTGGTCGGACCCCCTCGAGGACTTCGGCAACGAGAAGAACGCGGAACACTTCTCCCACAATAGCGTCAGGGGTTGTTCATACTTTTACAGGTGAGTGTCGCCGAGAGAGCGTGTCGCTCTCGTAGTTTCCTCCGCCAATATGTCGCGCGATTTACTTCAATCAGCACGACGTATCGCGGAACTTCCCGCCTACATCTTGCCAGACGCGTCCTTCGCGAGCGCGCTCCGATAAGACACGCGATGTTACAACGCGAGACTCACCAGTGCTGACGCGCTAATGTAAAAATAAAGGAAAAAAAAGAAAGAAAAGTGGAGAGTCGAGGTTAACGGGATCATCGCCGTCGGGTTTCTTTTTGCTCCTCGCCGTGAAAATGCGACACTTGGCGCGATGTATTTCGCTGTTGTCGTCGGTGCGTTTCTCGTTTTTCCTCCTCTTTTCCACCCCCGTGGGTTACACCCCGTCCAACGGGTAATTATCCCGCCGTTTGTCCCGAGCTGCGCACAGCAGCTGGAAACATATTGCGCTTATCGCGATCACACACCGTGAAACGAAGTAACTTCGGGGTACTCCTTCCCTCTCACTCTCTCTCTCTCTCTCTTCTCCTTTCCCATCGTCTCTCCGTCTGTCTCTCGAGTCGGGGGATCCAGCTTCCTTCCACCGAATCTTCCTACGCCGCACGTCGTGTCTCCGTCAGCGTCCGGACACACGTCCGCGGTTTGTCCTGCGCGAGGATTAATAACGCGGCCGTGTTACTCGAGCGTCAGCAAACCGCACACGCGACAGCTCTTCTCGCAGATCCGCTAATTATACGAACGGCCGTGCTAATGAGCAGCGAGATTCGTTAAGTGTCAGCCGTTCCGCGCGCTCGTCCGTTAACGTTTCCGTACGCCTGTCCGGAAGAGGGGAAAGCGGAGGAGAGTGATGAATTAAATTTCGGAGGAAGGGAAATTAGCCAGCCGCAATCCGCCTCGCGATCTTCCGGGACAATATCAATCTTTTGAGTGCAGAGCACTTTGGAGAGAATCACTTATCGCCGAAGATGAAAGACTTTCGATTGTCGTACGTCGAACAATAGGAAAAAACTTGTTAAAAAATCGAAAGTAGTAGACAGAGACAAATGAAATTTAATAGCACTAAGACATCCGTGCTTGCTCCTTATGTGCCGTATCAAATCTCACTTTAGTTAATCTATTTCAAGGAGCTTTCTATTATTATTTCGGTTTATCTTAAGCATCGGCAGGAAGGATATGCTATCTCTCTCTCGTATAATAACATCTCTTACGAGATCGACTCTTTCGTTCTTTCTCTCTCAACTTACATCTTAGAGAATTTATAAACATTGTTGCGAGATTACTGTCGAAGCCTCGGTGGCCGAATGGAAAGGCGTCCCGCCTGGAAAGTGGGGAGGTTCCAGGTTCGAGTCCTGGCAGAGGCAGTTTTTTCGCAACATATATAAGGAATCTATTTGAGTCATCGGTTTATTGGGGGGTTTGGGATTTTTATAAAAAATATATATATAAAAATTGGGACTCAAGGATCGGTCTAAGTATGGAAGATTGATTCTTCGTGTACGATAATCGAACAATTTCGATACATGCGTTTAACATACTGGACAATTTTATCCTCCCACAATCATATTAATATTAAAAAGTAATATTAGTATTTAATAGCACTAAGACATCCGTGCTTGCTCCTTATGTGCCGTATCAAATCTCACTTTAGTTAACAAATGAAATTGTTTATTAAGGGAGTAGATGATAAGATAAAATAAACTGGTAATATAAAACAAGACAACAATTGCTGCGCAATCTGTCAGTAACTGATAAAAATATAACTATTAGGGTCTTTATCGGCCACTACTCGTACACTGTTAAATATTGGAGGGTCAAATTTAAACCAATTTCTTGAGTTAAATAATATTTAGTTATTTTTAACTATCATGTGTGTCAAAATTTACTATTTTAACACAAAACATGTGTTTAAAAAACAATCACATCTAATCAATCCATTTAGAACAATATTAAGTCATTTTTTACTAAAACAAAGGTTACATTAACGTGAACATAATAAAAAATAAACTAAATTTTAGTCAAATTTTTATTTCCATTTAATACATTTCTTAAGTTAAATTATTTAACTCCATTACATTAGTTAAATTAACGACATATTTAATAGGAGCAGTGGCGACTTATAGGAATGGTTAAAAATAACTCAAATTGAGTATAATTTGACACTACGAATTTAACAGTATAAGGGGGTTTAGCGTCAGAATAAATAACATATTCCTGGGATTATCTTTACAGGGTGTTTCCTGTAAATAAGTCAAACTTTAAGAATATATTCTACTCATATAATCATGGGTCCGGAAACACTTCCTTTCCAAGCTATAAACACTTTTTATTTACAGACATGTTTCGCATCGACGTGTCATGCATTATTCTTTATCCATTTTCCATTAGAAGTAAATAAGTTATCAGATAGATCTGTTTGGAATTGGAATCAGTCTTTATTTAAACGTTTAAGAGTTAAAATAGTGTCAAGATGGCGACTTATTCCAACATAAAATAGACAGCCGCTACATGTATGGAAACTGCAGGAAAAGTCAACGTCTCTATCGACAGACTTTTCCTTGAAGACGATGTCCCGTTAAAAATACTTCTATTTCAGTCCATCGCTGACTTAGGGAAACAGAGTCTTTCTTACCCAGTATAATTAATCGATAAATAGAAATATTCGAACATCTGCAATCGAAGAGCAAGATTAGATGAGTCGAAGAAAACCCAAGGATTCAGCACGAGACAGGTCGCGTTACAAATGCAAAACGTCTCTTCGTCAACTGTGTAGAAGATTACACACGAAATTCTTTTGTATCTCTAAAACTCTCTTAAAATGAATCAGTCAAACATCACTGAAAACAATGAATATACACAGATTGCAGTTATAAGTATAGCACTGAAAGTCCTCAGTGCAATACTCATAACTGATATCAGTAACTATTCACTGAATCACTTTAAGAGAGTACAGCGAGTCCAAAAAATAGGGCTAATAAGAACCAAACGTAAAGTATTTTGTTTGAAACAATTTTCAATGGAATCTTTAGGTTTCGAAAAATCTCAATGGTTTATTTAAAATGGGACACCCTGTACAGATCCGGGTCCCCTACAATTTACAAAATCATTGCGGGCATAAACACACAGAGGAAACTTGTCTCTATATCATATCTAAGGTAAACGTCCCAGTGCCCGGACATGTACCTAATTCCGGACACTCTTATTATTTTGAATATTTCTCTAAATATTTCATCTTTCAACGTACACTAAATATAAATATTAAATGTATGTATACTAATATGTATATATTGTACGTTGAAAGTTGAAATATTCATATTCAAATATAAAAATAATAATAGTGAGATATTAACGGCACATAAGGAGCAGGCACGCATGTCTTAGTGCTATTAAATAATAGCACTAGTACTAATATTACTTTTTTTAACCCTCCGAGAACACACTGGGTCAATTTGACCCTTACCTCAACGTTGATCATGAATATGTTGAAGGCATTTTGAAAATTAGCGGGATTGACGCCCTCTAAAATCACGATTGTTTCTTGTAAATTACAATTTTTACAAAAAATAATTTTTTTTGAGAATTTTTTTAGATATGTTAATAATTATAACGACATTTTTTATTTATTTTACGAGATTTTTCTATATCTCAGGTATATCTAGAAATTTTTTTAAGCTAATCGCACACGTCGTTTTAAAATGGCGGACCCTCAAAGTTAGCGTAGGGTCAGATTGACCCAGAGTGTACTCTATGCTTGAAAAAATAGGTGTGTTCTCGGAGGGTTAATATTAATATGATTGTGGGAGGATAAAATTGTCCAGTATGTTAAACATACGTATCGAAATTGTTCGATTATCGTACACGGAGAATCAACCTTCCATACTTAGACCGATTCTTGAGTCCCAATTTTTATATATATATTTTTTTTATTAAAATCCCAAACCCCCCAATAAACCGATGACTCAAATAGATTCCTTATATATGTTGCGAAAAAACTGCCTCCGCCAGGACTCGAACCTGGAAGCCTCCCCACTTTCCGGGCGGGACGCCTTTCCATTTGGCCGCCAAGGCTTTGACAGTAATCTCGCAACACAATGTTTATAAATTCTCTAAGATGTAAGTTGAGAGAGAACGAAAGAGTCGATCTCGTAAGAGATGTTATTATACGAAAGAGAGATAGCATATTCTTCCTGCCGATGCTTAAGATAAACCGAAATAATAGAAAGCTCCTTGAAATAGATTAACTAATAATGAGATATTAACGGCACATGAGGAGCAGACACGGATGTCTTAGTGCTATTAAATACTAATATTACTTTTTTTAATATTAATATGATTGTGGGAGGATAAAATTGTCCAGTATGTTAAACGCACGTATCGAAATTTTTCGATAAAAATAATAACAATGTCCGGACATTGGTACATTTACCTTACAATACAATCAATCGCAACAATTAGTTTCCTAACTTCATTCTGAAAAATATATCTTACGTCGGTCTCCCCTAAACGTGCAGCTCTCAATTAAACAATCTCACCCACTCTTGCCCTCGTATTATTGATATCACATGCCACCGGTTTGGAGATAACTCGCGTACTCGTAATTTCCCTCTGCTTTTTTTCCTAAGAAAGAAGGGCTACCACGTGGCAGCGTTGTGGGGATTATTTAATAATTGAGTCGTTCATTGATATGTATGACTCGCGCGGGCGATCGCGATCGCGATAAGATAATAAGCCGGCCATTATGAAGACGTTCCAGGTGGTAACGGTGGTAACCGCGCGAACTTCTCATTTTCGATTCCCGCATTATCGTGTCTCGCTCGCCGATAAGTACGTGCATTAAGTTTCACGCGAACATAAATCACACCTCGCGTCCCGGCACAGCCGGTGTATGCAAGTAGTCCGGCCGTAATCACCGGCGCGCTTGTCCGACCTACACGCTGACCCGTACCACTCGCGCTGTCCGAACCCGTAAAGAAGCTCCCGATTTACTCGCTAACCCGACACGAGGAGCAGAGCTATACGTTTTCCACGGGGGAAGGGAACACCGAGTCCGCGCGTCCGACGAAATAACAGCCGCATGAAATAAATCATCTTATCGTCATCGTCCAGCATATGCGCGCGCGCGCGCGCGTGTGTGTGTGTGTGTGTGTATATGTGCGCGGGTGTAGGTGTACATATCTCGGAGTTGAGATTCATCGACCCGGGGATCGAATGCGGACTACATCGGCGGGCGGCGTTCGCTTTTCGAGAGATTTCACCTCGTCATTAATCTCTGTCGGCGCTATGAACGGGGCTTAATGGCTGCTAACGATCACGTCTCGACGTGGCGCAAACATTTCTCACGATCCTTGACCAGGTCAGTTATGGTGGCGCGGAGATAGGGTCGCGCCAACGTCTTCGGCGGCTTAATTTGTTTACGCGACCAACACGCGCGCCGTGTGTATGTGTGTGTGTGACATCGTCATTCCGGGTGACGACAATGGATCGATGAGCTCTCCGCGTAGCGCGTAGGGAGACACGCGGACGTGTCTTGATGAGCTCGCCCGAACGGCGGGCTTGACGCGACGCGAGAACGGCGAAGTTTAAGCATTCTCGAAACAATCTAGCGGCCAAACGCGTCGGTCACTCGGACAATCGTACGAATTTGCGGAATCGCGTTCAGCCAGTCGGCCGCTGTAAACTCCCCGACAAGTTAAGATTGATTATTTGGCGCTCGAGCAATTGTTTTCGACGCGACTGCCAAGAAGCGCGCGCCGTGCGGCGTAATCCAGGTCGTGATTTTAAGATATACGCCTTCCTGCGATAAATATTAGAAGCGAGATTTTGTCGCGGCTCGTTTACACTTTGTACGCCGAGTTTCAAAACCGCTCGAACATTCTCGGACAGTTTGGAACGCTGTCAATGGTCCAAGGACACAGTATGACTTCTGAAAATTGATCAAAAACCAGTTCTTCCATCGGACTATCGGCTACGTTCCAAATTACATGAAAAAGAGAATGAATTCAAACCCAGTGTAGTACATATATAATTTTTGTTGCGGAAAATCCGCGCTCGCAGTTTCAGGAGCGACCTTCGACACGATCGTGACGACCTTCGCGTTGTTCATTGATGTGTGTAGTCGGTTACAGAACGATTTGTACGATAGATATATTGATAGACTGCGCAATGTTGTAAGAGGGATAAAGTCAGCATCGAAAATAGAGGACAACAGAGAATAAAACTTTTTTGTCTAATTGTTTAGTTGGCGGAGAGAACGAAGGAGCAGGAGCAACCACATGATCAATGCATCCTCTCTTTCTTTCACTATGTTTTATTATTTCTCTTTTGTTTCTTCTATATCATCCCTTTCTAGAATATAGTAGGACAACAGAGAAAACATTTAATTTACAAAGGAGGTGTTTCATCGATTCTGAGTTTAGACTAGTATAGAATTGTTCTAAAGGGCCTACATAATTTCCATTTGCATCTCTTATGTTTAAAAAAAAATAATAGCATCTAAAATTATATAATTTTCAACAATTTAATAAAATTTAAAAATCATATTTTTTGCTAACTCTGAAAATATTGATAGAAATTAATTTCTATATATATATATATATATTATAATGCAAAACAAAAATAATAATCTTACTTTTAACCTTTATTCTAACTTGTCCTACTGTAAAAAATATGAAATAGAAGTGCTATCGATTTGTTCTCGAATTAAATTTAAAGTCGAGTAAATTTCACATTTTTCTATAACGTGACACACTATAATCATTATAATCTTTTTATTTTATTAAATTTTTGAAAATTATAAAATTCTGCATGCTGCTATTTTTTTAACGCAAAGGAGTGCAAATGGAAATTTATATTATTTATACCCCCTAGAACAATTCTATACTGACCTAAACTTAGAATCGATAAAACAATTCGGGACTTTCCCTTGTTAGGACATCTCTGATCTTCAATGTTGTCGTAAACCGTTCCGCAAGAGCGTGACGTTTATTCTATAAGTCTACAGTTTGCATACATTTCTTTTTAATGAAGTTAGAAGACCTTCAAAGTGTCACAATTGCGGGCCACTGCTGACAGGCTTGCGCAGAGTAGTCGGTTATGACAGGAGCGACCGAAATAATAGTATATGAGACATCCGACGTCACAACCGCGATGGAGGATTCAAGACAAACGTGAGCATATTTGTTGTACTCTTATCTATCGGATAAGAATGGAACAAAGGCTCAATATTTACACCGTGTATTGTCACTTCGGCTGCTGTCATAACCGATCACGAGGCAAGCCCGTGGGCTCGTAATTGTGAGCAACTCGGAGCACTCCTAACAAAATGTGTGCAAAGCATTCTGCAGCCGACTCTACACTGAGAGAAGAGAGTGGTTAATTTCACTAAAATTATTATCATTTTCAACGTTCTCGATTACCCTTTCAAACAGGAAGAGTTTTCAACAGCATAAAACTATTATCGCTAACAATGTAGCAGCACTTATCACAAAAGTGGTTTCTTTGATTACATTTACTTCGCTTTGCAGTTATAGTATGCGCATACTAAACACTATGCAGATGTAACAAACCCTTCTCTCAGTGTACACCGGATAAACTTAACGATCTCCCCTCTCATTCTCTTTCTCCCAATACTTCTCGACAATCACTCGGCAAGCTCTTCCCAAAGCGGTCAATCGATAACGTGTGCTTGCAGTTACGCAGCGTGTTGCGACTTTTTGCAAAACAACAATTTGCTCAGCATCATAAGGGCGCACGAGGCTCAAGACGCCGGATATCGTATGTACCGAAAGTCCCAGACGACAGGCTTCCCATCGCTTATCACCATCTTCAGTGCGCCCAATTACCTCGACGTGTACAACAACAAGGTAAGGGATAACACCTGTCCGCGCGCACACTCGCGAATCCGCATCGGCGGCCGGTCGTCGTCTCTCTCTCCGCTGTTAATTTAGGTTTATCGCGCATTCCTTGTCTCGAAGCTCGACGCAGTACGTTGTTTGTTATCACGGCTTGTGGACCCCCGTCGGTTGCTCTACCGTCGTCAAATTTTCGATGCTCGTTGTGCCCGCAGGCGGCGGTTTTGAAGTACGAGAACAACGTGATGAACATCAGGCAATTCAATTGTTCGCCACACCCGTACTGGCTGCCCAACTTCATGGACGTTTTCACATGGTCGCTGCCGTTTGTGGGCGAGAAAGGTGAGCCGTGCCAAACTGAGGCGAAAATCGATTATCAAAATATATTTATTTATTTATATTCATCTATTTATTTAGCAAAATTATTTAATTAACACTAGAACTACCAAAGCAGTCAAAATGGCGGATTTGTAATTTCTTATAAAAATCGATTATCAAAATATATTTATTTATTTATATTCATCTATTTATTTAGCAAAATTATTTAATTAACACTAGAACTACCAAAGCAGTCAAAATGGCGGATTTGTAATTTCTTATAAAAATCGATTATCAAAATATATTTATTTATTTATATTCATCTATTTATTTAGCAAAATTATTTAATTAACACTAGAACTACCAAAGCAGTCAAAATGGCGGATTTGTAATTTCTTATAAAAATCGATTATCAAAATATATTTATTTATTTATATTCATCTATTTATTTAGCAAAATTATTTAATTAACACTAGAACTACCAAAGCAGTCAAAATGGCGGATTTGTAATTTCTTATAAAAATCGATTATCAAAATATATTTATTTATTTATATTCATCTATTTATTTAGCAAAATTATTTAATTAACACTAGAACTACCAAAGCAGTCAAAATGGCGGATTTGTAATTTCTTATAAAAATCGATTATCAAAATATATTTATTTATTTATATTCATCTATTTATTTAGAAAAATTATTTAATTAACACTAGAACTACCAAAGCAGTCAAAATGGCGGATTTGTAATTTCTTATAAAAATTACTCAAATTTATAAAAGCGTATTTCATATTTGTAATTGACACTGAATATATTTATATTCATCTATTTATTTAGAAAAATTATTTAATTAACACTAGAACTACCAAAGCAGTCAAAATGGCGGATTTGTAATTTCTTATAAAAATCGATTATCAAAATATATTTATTTATTTATATTCATCTATTTATTTAGCAAAATTATTTAATTAACATTAGGACTATCAAAGCAGTCAAAATGGCGGATTTGTAATTTCTTATAAAAATTACTCAAATTTATAAAAGCGTATTTCATATTTGTAATTGACACTGAATATTAAAAAGGATAAACATTCTTTTCATTATATTTCTTTCAAAAATTCGTAATTTTGACCGCAGTAATAGGAATAGGTTATTAATTATCGAAAATTTTTATATTATAAATTTGCGCTGTTGTTATGTTTGTATAGAATTGAAAATGTTTATACATAATGAAAATACAAATGTCAAGGAATGGCGAAATATTCCATATTACATATAAAAATTAGAAAATCTTTTTATTTATAAAATTTCTTTTTGTTGTTGATATGTAACATGAGATACTTCGCTATTCATTGACGTTTGTACTTTCATTATGTATTTATAAGCATTTGCAATTCTATATAACTAAATAAAAAAACAGTGCAAAATACGAAGCTGCTATATGGATATCCGGTATTCTCATCAGGAACATTTTTCATTCTTTGCACTCAATTCTTACTGAGTTTTCCAAGTGTAAAAGATTAATATCTCTTTCGGAAACAGAAATTATGAAATATCTAAAGAAGAAAATACACGGAAAAAAAGGATTAGTCGAATTAACGTATTAATGATACTAAATGCGTTTTGATTGAAGGAAACAGAATTTCTGGTTATTAAGAACCGGATTTAGTTCATAAAAACCGGAAATTCTTTTTTTCTAATCAAAACGCGTTTAATGTATCATTATCACATTAATTCAGTCAATACTTTTTCCGTGTGTGTGAGCTTAAAAGTCGAGATATACCGCTCAAAAAAATATGGCATAAAAAAATTATAAACAAAAAAGATGTTTGTATGATGATTTTTCACGGAGTAATGTTCAAATGTCGCCCATTTTTGCTTATAATGTTTTGATACCATGTTTCTCTTGAGTAGCGTATAATTTAATTAATGTGCGAGAAGACATCTCGCTCCGTCTGTCGTTCGGCGACGTTTTTAACGAGCGGCTCTTCGCTCTCTCTTTGTCTCTTTCAGTTACAGAAATGTTGGTGAATGTGCTGAACATCTGCTCGGACGACGAGCTGATGACCGACGGCGACGACGCGCTCGAGGAAGGTAATGTCCACCATTCAGCTCTCATACTATCCCACCTTAATCCATACACGGTATTATTTTGCAGACGTGTCGAAAACGAAATTGGTACTGAGACTGGTCGCTCTTATATCGTGATCAGAGCCTGTGTCTTTTGACCCTTCTTCTACCTCGGGCCGCGTACTCTCGAGTTGCTGCCCGAGTCTGAGCTTTATCTGTTTGAATACGGAGCTCAGGTTTTGAGTGCAAACGCGAAACGAGACTCACGTAAGCGTCGCGCGCGCGACGCAGACACACTTCTCTCAATCTCGTGACCGAGATTGCGAAAATCTCAGCCGTAACCGAGGGGATTAGAGAAGTAGATTTGGGTAATTATGTATAGAGGGAGATATATATATATATATATATATATATATATATATATATATATATATATACAAAAGATTAATCTCTTCTTCAATTTCTTTGATTTTAAAATATGTTTTAAAGAGTGGAATTCTAAAGTTATCTGTATACAACTTTAAACTATGTGGAGGTCGCCTGTACTCGAATTGAAATTTTAGCCCTATATTAAACCTTGAATTCTACAAAGCAATAGGAGCTAAATTAGCAAAGTAAGTTTGATTCTAATGATACAATTTATTCCTACTTTGACTTTGGTAATGTTCGAAATTTCTCCTTTTACTTTCTTTAGCGTCAAAGTAAGTTGTATTGGAGGTCTGAATATCAAAATAGATGTTGAATGGAATAATGAGATTGAAAAGACGAAAATTTCGACTGAAATAGAATCAAAAGAGATTGATGTAGGTTTCAGAGTATTAAAATAGAATAGAATAAGGCTGAAAATAGGTTCAAACTCAGTTTTGACTCGAGTAGTTTCGCAGAAACTACGTATCATTTTCAAATATGATAGTTAAATATTATAGTTGTACCCTTTATTATACTTCATTATGCACGTGATACAATAATGTTCTGCATAACTTAAATTTAACTTTATACAATTTACAATTTAACTTGAGACATCTTATTTTGTCACGGAAATCCCCCCCCCCCCCCT